TGGAAGTTCTCTCCGACCACATCGAGCACGTCACTGCACGCGAGGCCGCGCATGAGCACCGCGCAACCGCCTTTGTTGTTGGTGGGGGGGGGGGCACGAAGCCCGCCGGCGCGTAGCAACGCAATGGGCGGAGGAAGGAACGGGGCACGTCGACGTACCGGTAGATGGAGTTGATCTTGGTCTTGGTTTCGTCGAGGAGCGCCGCGATGTCGAGCTTCTCCACCTTGGGCGTTGATGAGCCACTCGCGCCCTTCCCCTGTTCTGTTGTTGTTGGCGCAGTTGACCCGAATCGAGCGTGAGCCGAGGGGGCGACAACAACAACAACAACACAACTCGAGTGGCTCCGGAGGGGGGGGGGGCTTACTGGTCGGGGTTGCTCCGGAGGCCTTGTCGGAAGAAGAAGGAGAAGGAGACTGCTGTTGCTGCTGTTGAGCGGGTGCGGTACCGGCACCCTCGTCCTGGGGCTTGCCGGTCTTGTTGCTGGTCTTCCTCTTCCTCATCTTCTTCTTCCCCCTCGCGGTGCTGACGAAAACAAACAAAAAAGAAGACCAAGTCAAAGAATGTGGGCCTCTGCGTTCCGGCAAAAAAAAATACAATTACAAAATACAACAATAAACAGAGGAGGCAATCTAGCCGTTGCACACACGCAGGAGGAGCACAGGGTTTTGCTGCGACGATCAGGAATAAAGGGCGGACATGCTGGTGGTCCGGACGCTGGGCAGATCTGAGGGAGGAGCCTGCTCGAATGCATCTGCACATTGGCGACCACCACCCCGCCGCGAACGAAGAGTGAGACTTGCATGTCTGCGCAGGAGCGCGAACCAACGAGGAACCCACCTTGTGCAAAGAGCTGATCATCCTCCGCGGTACCGTGCCCGAGCGCGAACCGCCCCACGTCCTCCTGTACCGTACCACGTGTTGGTTTAGAGAGAGAGAGAGTGCGCGCGTCTCTTCGTTGTGCGTGCGTGCGTGCGTGCGTGCGTGCGTGCGTGCGTGCGTGCGTGCGTGCGTGCGTGCGTGCGTGCGTGCGTGCGTGCGTGCGTTGAACATTGCAAAAGAACGAAAGAAACCAGGCGGCGGAGTACGCTAGAAGAAGAGAATGCTCGGCCTGCGTCGTGCTCCTCGCCGCCGGAGGAAGTGGCCGCGGTGTCGTCCTCGTCCCAGTCGAAGGCAGACGACGCGTCCTCGTCCCAGGCCCCTCTCTTCTTGCTGCCCTGTCCCCAATCACCCGTGGCCTCTAGCTCGATCTCTCGCAGCACCTGCGTCACAAACCACTCAGCAAACCAGCCGAGGAGTGTCTTGTCGTTTGCTGTTGGCTCCCGTTTCCGTTTCCGTTTCCGTTTCCACCACCAGACAAAGAACAAGGGGACTGGAGCACGAACCTTCATGAACTGATTACGACGTCGCCATCGGTAACAGCAAAAGAGAAGGAGGCCCAGAACGACTAGAGATGCGAGAATTATGGCTCCTATGGCAGCAACCGTCGAGGCATTGTCTTGCAAATCTCCCAGCTGCATGCAGTTCTTGGTGTAGCAGGGAAAGAGCGGTGCTGTCCTCTTCGCTCGCTGTTCTTCCTTTTCCTCTCCCTTTTCCTTGAACAAGATTTTTCACCAAGCCATTCCAGGATAAATCCTACAAACGGAAGCGAGGTCAACGAGAGGCGGTCGTGCCGTGTACGCAAATCGACAGCAGCACACACATCAAGGCCGCATCGGCCCGCCCTTATCGCCCCGCCAGCAACAACACAACTTTAGTGCGGCGTTTGCAAAAGACATGGAGCAGCCCCCATCATCCCAAGGCCAGCCCGCCAAGGGGTACGCTCTCCGCCATCTGATCTCATCTCCACGCGTTATTTTCTTTATGCCTTCAGCCCCTTCAGTGTTGTGGTGTAGTGTTGTATGGAGTGTGGAGAGTAAGCCAGCAAATTTGCGGTGGGGGGGTCGGTGCGCGGGCGTGGCCATGTGTGCCGTGAAGCGGCAGTGAAGGAGGCTGATGAATTAGCGGTCTGTGATGGCGTGCGATTATAGGGGCAACTACTCGGACCTGCAGAAATGGAAGGAGAACGTACTGGAAGGCCGACCGCGCATCGATAAGTCGCTCCTCACCGAAGACGTGACAACAACGAAGGGTAACGAATTTGAAGATTACTACCTCAAGCGAGAGCTCCTTATGGGCATTTACGAGAAGGGATTTGAGAACCCCTCGCCCATCCAAGAAGAAGCCATCCCCATCGCTTTGGCAGGACGAGACATCCTGGCACGCGCGAAGAATGGAACCGGCAAGACGGCGTCCTTTCTCATCCCCGCACTCGAGCGCATCAACACTGAACAAAACATCATCCAAGGTACTCCTTTCATTCCCCCTCGCGCCCGAGATCGCCTGGCTGAGCTTGCCTCTCGTTTAGCCCTCATCCTCGTGCCCACGAGAGAGTTGGCCCTGCAGACTTCGCAGGTTTGCAAGGAACTCGGCAAGCACATGAACGTGAAGGTCATGGTCACCACTGGCGGTACCAGCCTCAAGGAGGACATCATGAGGCTCCACAGCGTGGTCCACATCCTGGTCGCCACTCCCGGCCGAGTGCTCGATCTCGCCAAGAAGAAGGTCGCCGACCTCAGCAAGTGCACGTTCATGGTCATGGACGAGGTATGCCCCCCCCCCCAAATCGATCGCTAATCGTTAGTGATCGGGCGCACTCATCATGCGTGTGATGTGCAGGCCGACAAGCTTCTGTCGCCTGAGTTCCAGCCTCTCGTGGAGCAAATCATCGAATTCACGCCGGACGAGAGGCAAATCCTCCTCTTCTCGGCCACTTTCCCCATCACCGTCAAGGATTTCAAGGAACGATTCCTGCGGAAGCCTTACGAGATCAATCTCATGGAAGAACTCACCCTCAAGGGTGTCACCCAGTACTACGCCTTCGTCGAGGAGAGGCAGAAAGTGCACTGCCTGAACACTCTCTTCTCCAAGGTTTGCCTCCTCCTCCTCCTTATTTCGCGCGCGCAACGTTACTCGTCTCGCTTCTGATCTGGCGCTAATCTAATCTCGCACCTTTGATCGTTGCAGCTTCAAATCAACCAGTCGATCATCTTCTGCAACTCTGTCAACCGAGTGGAGCTGCTGGCGAAGAAGATCACGCAGCTGGGCTACTCGTGCTTCTTCATCCACGCCAAGATGCTGCAGTCCGACCGTAATCGCGTCTTCCACGAGTTCAGGAAGGGTGTGTGTAGAAATCTGGTGTGCACAGGTTCGTACCCCCCTCTAACCTCTCAACCTCTTCTTCTGTGCAGAGGCCATATAACCCAACTCTGACACGCTGCGTGCTTCCTGCACTCACTCTACTCTTTGGTGCCAATGGGCAGATCTGTTCACGCGAGGAATTGACATCCAGGCCGTGAACGTAGTCATCAATTTTGACTTCCCCAAGAACTCGGAGACCTACCTTCACCGCATCGGCCGCTCGGGCAGATTCGGACACCTGGGCCTGGCGATCAACCTCGTGACCTACGAGGACAGGTTTAACTTATTCAAGATAGAGCAGGAGCTGGGTACTGAGATCAAACCCATCCCTCCCGTGATCGACAAGAGACTGTACGTGGCCTACTAGCGCCGCCCCCCGGCACCACGACCACGACGACCACGACCGCAGCGGCAGCGAACGCCCACCCCAGCCGCAGCGAAGGAGGCCCCAACCCGCTCTCACGCCCTCGCTCTGCAATAAACCCCTTGGTCGCACCGCTCAACCCCGTCTTCGCCTGCTAGCTCCCCCCCCCCTACTTCTCGCCGGCGCAAGAGCTCTGTGTCCTTCTGAGAGGTCCCAAACGCTTCTACCCCCCCCCCGTGGCCCGTGCCGGCCATGCTGTACAAAAAAAGGCCACACCAAAAAGGGCCTTGTGTGCGTGTGTGAGCGCGCTTGCCGGCGCGGCTCAGGAGTCCTCGTGGGCGGGGGCGAGGGGCTGCGGCCTGGGCCGGTCGTGCTGGGCGCTGCCAGCTTCGGGCTGCTCCTTTTGGGCCATCCGCTCGTCGATGGCTTGCATCGCCAGCGCACTGTGCCGCAGAGACACAGCGGCCGGGGGTGAGCACAGCACTCAACAACGGCACCGGGGAAGGGGGGGGGGCAAGAGTGTGTACCGCCTCCTCTCCGAATCGAAGGTGCTGGCCTTGGCGAGCGCCACCTGTGCCCCGAACACGGGATTTCCCTGCATGCACGCCATGCACGCCGCGCCACCACACATCGGCAGCCGATCGGTCGCGGGTGGCGTCAGCCCAAGCGCCAGCGCATGCAGCATGCGAGGCGAGGGCGCACCTCTTCCAGGTCGGATGGATGCCCGGCCAAGGGGCCGGGGTCCTTGGGGCAGCACCTGAACAGGACCAGCACCTTCCACACCGCGCTCTCCAGGGGCGTGACAAGGCCCCTGCGCGGATTCGCATCCCACCACCGCCGCCGCCGCCACGCCCGCGATGATGAGTGCCGGCGGGCTGGGCGCAATAATGGGCGGCGGCGCACCACCATGATGGCGGCGGCGGTGGCGGGAGGGCAGCACGTACTGCATCTGCTCGGGCAGCAGGGTGGCGAAGGCGAACTCGGCGCTGTGGTCCCCCACCGTGGCGCCCCTCTGCGCAGGCACGCACACACCCATGAGTGAGGGGGAGGGGGAGTAGGTCGGGGAGCCGCCGAGACGGAGCGACCCCCCCCCCCTATGTAAGGTACCACAGCAGTGGTGGTGGTGGTCGTGGTTGTGGTGGTGGTCGGAAGTACCTTTTGGAAGAAGCGGAGGTAGGTCCACGAGAAGAGGACCCCGAAGAAGGTGAAGGGCTGCGCGTAGCCAAAGAACAGCGCCGTCGCGCACTCGAGCGCCACCAGCAGCGCCGGCAGATGCTGCAGTTCGTGCCACCCCCCACCCCCACCCCCGGTCAGACATGGAGGCCCTCAATGGAGCGCGGGCATGAGGGCGGCGGCGGCGGGGTTGGTTGGGTTATGGGTTGGGCACCTTGGCGCGGAGGGGCAGGTAGAGGGCGAGGAGCTCGCTGTCGGGGTGCAGCTGCTTCATCGCCACCGCGTAGCCGGCGAGAGCCCCGGCGAATCCGCCAAAGCCGGAGAACCTGTCAGATTCCGCATCGCATCGGCAAAGTTGTGTCAATGAGCGGCGTGCGTGTGCGTGGTGCGTGGTGCGTGTCAGGAGGAGGAGGGGTGGGCCGGAGGCGCGTACAGCAAGGCTTCGGTCTGGAAGAGGGAGTAGAGGAACACGGCGGCGATGAAGGTGGCCACGGCGGAGAGGGCGTTGACGACCAGGGTGAAGCGCAGGAACTCCTCGGGTCCCCACAGGGGCTCCAGGTAGCGCCCGAAGAGCATGATCGACACCACGCTCATGCCGGCCTGGCGCGGCGTCCATGCAGTTGGTGTGTGCGTGGTGTGTGTGCGTGGTGTGTGTGCGTGGTGTGTGCGTGTGTGTGTTGGGTGATCAGCGCAGGCCGTTTGTGGTGGCTGGAAACAGCTTGTGAGGAGGGAGGGGGAGGGGGAGGTACGGCGAAGAGGGAGAGTTCGTAGAAGCTGCACGTGACGAGGTTCCACACGTACATGTGCCCCACGGTGCTGCGTGGCAGAGAAGAGGAGGGGGGGGGAAGCGTGCTGAGGGTTCAAGTGCGCCATCGCGTGGCGCGCAGCACCGCGGCAACGACACGCGACACGCGCGGCACACACACGAGAGAGAGGAGAGGGGCCGCGGGGAGGAGTACTAGCCCGGGACCAGGGCGAGGTAGTGCTGAGCGGTGGCAGGGGCCAGCAGCCGGAGGAGGGCCACCCCGAGCACAGCCCCCGCAAGGGTCCTACCGGCCCACCATAACCACCATAACCACCATTACCACCACCCCCCCCCCAACAGAGACAACAAACCACCACCGCCGCGTGGGAGCGAGAGAGATGAGGAGGAGGGGTGGGAGGGGTACGTGGCAGCAGCAGCGGCAGCAGCAGCAGCAGCGGGTTGGAGCAATGCGAGGAGGTGATGGTACCGGGACAGGGGCGGAATAGAGGAGAGGGGACCACCTTCGTCCTGGCCTCCCTGTTCGCCCCCCACCCACCACGCCAGCGGACGCATTAGACCACGGCCTCGTGGTTTGCAGCGGGGGAGGGGGGGGGTCCTTTGCGTACCATGCGATCTCGTAGGTTGGTGCGCGCCCACTCCATCTTTTGTTGTGTCCCTTTTTTGTTTTTGTTTTTTATTTATTGAAATTTATTTATTTAGCAATTAATTTGGGCGAAGTGCAGGCGACACGTGGCGCAAGGACTGTACACGGAAGAAGAGGCGAGGGAAGGAGCAGAAGGTGCGGCAGCACACAGTGGCCACATCAGCATCATCATCATCGTAAGCTACCAGTTGGCGAGCTCGCCCTGCGGTACGGAGGGGAGCCCGTAGGGATCGGAGGCGCCCGGCCCCTGCCCCACGGGTGGTGCGGGCAGGGGGGACTCGCCGCCCATGGGCGACGTCACGGCCTGCAGGTAGGACGGAGAAGCCTCCTCCTGGCCCCAGTCCTCCTCTCCCAACGCCGCCAGCTCTGTTTAGTGGTGCAATGCGTGCGTGTGTGTGTGCGTGTGCGTGTCAGCCAACACGTCGCCACAACAAAGGACGGCGCCGTTTTTGACAAAGGCTCAGATGTTGGAGCGGAAGCAGGAGAGGGGGTGGCGGTGTACCTTCTTCGAGGTCGGCCTCGTCGAACTCTTCGGGCACTCCGTAAGAGCGGGAGAGGATGTCCTGCACCTCGTTTGAGGTCTCGTAGAGGTCCTCCATGTCGTCCCAGAGATTCTGCACACGCACGCCCCCGTCGTGTGTGTGTCGTGTGTGTGTGTCGGTGGCCGTCGTCCGGGAATCACAGTCAGTTGGTCGGTCGGCCATTCACGACAAACTTGGAGGAAAGGAGGAGGACCTCGATGTCGCCGATTTTGACGTCCTTGAATTGCTTCTGCATGGCCACCTTGGCGTCCTTCATCGTTTGCACCTGGAAACGTAGACATAGATACAGAAATAAAAACATACGGCGGGTGATCACGGCGGTCAGATGGAATGCGCGTGCGTGGTTCACATAAGAGCTCGAGCAGGTCCTTTTTGGAACTGCGGCGTACAATGGTGACGGTGTCCTGGAGGGTCTGAGTCATCATTTGGGCTTGCTCCATGTTGAAAGACTGGCCCATGAGCTGGTCCCGCTGCTGCTCGTACCTGTCGTGCGAGTGGTTGCGACGTTTGCACACAAGGGCTGGTTCGTTCTTTTTGCCTCAAAAAGAAAGGGAGGCCATGGTGGGTGATGGGAGGTGCAGCACGTACATTTTCTTTTGCTTCATGACCTTGAGCGCACGCTGTTTGATGCCATTTTGTGCAGGACCAGGGCGCGTTCGCTGCATCTGCTGTCTGTACCGAATCAACTCGGCGTCGAGCTTCTTTATCCTTTCATCGAGCGCCTCGCATCGCTTATCAACCTACCGAAGGACGTGTCGGCCCAACATCAAGAGTTGAATTGGGGGGGCACGAGATGCATGGGTACCGAGGCACTGGCTTCGGCAAGAGTGGGGGTGGGCTGCTGGGGCTTAGCCGAACCGCCAAAAAATCTTCTCATGGTGGATGGACCTGTGCAACCACAGAGGGCTCTACAAAGGCAAGCTGCGCAATCTTGCAAGATGATGATCTCACCTGCCGACTTTTCTGTGTGCTGTCCGTTTTGTGTCGACAGCTTGGGGAAAATGTTTGAAAGGGGATTGGTGCCCGAGAGAAATGTGTAGCGTGAGCGCGGCAAAAAAGTCCTTTCTCTTTTCCTTCTCCTCTTCTATCGTTCGTCCGTATCCGCCATGCCCAAGGAGACCAAGCAGAGACGCGGAAAGCAGGTGGCGGCTGCCCCCTACGACAAGAACGCCAAGGCCCCCGTCAAGGGTGGCAAGAAGGCTGTGCCCGCCCAGCCCGCCAAGAAGGCCAACAAGGGTCCTTCCCCCGCTCTGTTCGAGAAGAGGCCCAAGAACTTCGGCATCGGTCAGGACATCCAGCCCAAGCGTGATCTCACCCGCTTCGTCAGATGGCCCAAGTACATCCGCATGCAGAGGCAAAAGCGTGTGCTTCTCCACCGCTTGAAGGTCCCGCCCACGATCAACCAGTTCACCAGGACCCTTGACAAGAACCTTGGTACCCATTCACTCTCTCAAAGTTAAGCTGCGACTTCCTTCCGCTAGGTATGGTTTGCTTACGCGTTTCTATTTTCAATCCCTGCACAGCCAAGAACCTCTTTGCCTTCGTGGACAAGTACAGGCCCGAGACCAAGGCCGAGAAGGCTGACCGTCTTAAGAAGAGGGCTGCCGAGATCGCCGCTCTCAAGAAGGGTGAGCAGCCCCCCGCCGTTGCCACGCCCTACTTCGTGAAGTACGGCCTGAACCACGTCACGTCGCTCGTTGAGAGCAAGAAGGCTAAGCTCGTCGTGATCGCTCACGATGTTGACCCCATCGAGGTATTTATCCCGCTTCCCAATGCCGCGGCTGTGTCTCATCATCGAGTTTATGCTAATCGCAAACTATTTCCCCCCTGCTTAGCTCGTCGTGTGGCTGCCCTCGCTTTGCAAGAAGGTCGGCGTGCCCTACTGCATTGTGAAGAGCAAGTCCAGGCTCGGCCAGGTGGTCCACAAGAAGACCTCCGCCGTGCTCGCCATCACCAACGTGAGGAAGGAGGATCAGCCTGCCCTCGCCACCCTGACGAAGGCCATCCAGGAGAACTACAACGACAGGTATGACGACCTCAGGAGGCAGTGGGGCGGTCTTCAGCTCGGCCGCAAGTCCGTGCACAAGCAGAAGGCCAAGGCCAAGGCTGCTGCTGCCAACCAGTAAGGCTCTTGACCCGCGCTCTGCACACTCCGTAATAAACCAAAAACATCCAAACATACGCCTTTATCTTCTCAGCATTCTCTCCGTGATCACATTCCTCTTGTCCCACTCAACAAATCAAAAATAAATAGAAATAATCATTTTTGTCACGCGCAAGCAGTCATCAGCTGTAGTGATGATGATGGAGCAAGAGGGGCAAGCCGACCTCGACCACGCCATTGACTCTTGGCTCGCTCGTGTACGCCCTCTCTCCAGTGCTAGTACACCCACCAGTGGCCATGCACGCCAACGCTTCCGTGCGCCGCTGCGGCTTTTGCGTACGTGTGGGTGTGTGGCTGATCTCAGGATGCGCTGGCCGGCCTCGGCCGCGCCGTGGGCTCTGTTGGAGCCACGACGTCAGCTGGTGGAGCACCTTCCCCCCTCTCCTCCCCCTGTACGTCACCGACCCCACCCGCAACGGCAGCTGCCCCCCCACCCCCCACCCCATCACCGCCTTACCCCGCTTGCATGGCGTGGCGACGTCCAACAACCATCACCACCATCACCATCATCCGTGGCTGCACGTTGCACACTGTCACCCGCGTGCGCAGCAGAAGAGCGCGAGGTGCCCACTGGCGCCTCCTCCTTCTCCTCGTCATCGTCGTGGTCATCGTCGTTTCCGGACGTCGTTCCCTTCCCACCCTCCGGAGCGCCCCTGGCCCACGCTCACGCGATCCCGCCGCCCACCCAGATGCCTGGCACCGGGCACCTCGAGGAGGAACTGAGAGCAGAAGGACAAGCTGCGCCGCACCACCACCACCACCACCACCGCCAGCAGCAGCAGCAGCAGGAGGAGGACGGAGGAGGAGAAGGCGACCGAGAGGGCAGCGGCCGCAGCGGCGCGGACGTCGTGATGGCGGGGTGCGCATCTCCAGTCGCACCGCCGCTCTCGTCGGCGGGCGCCGCTGCTGCGCCGTGGGGCGGCATCCTGGGCCACCTGGGCTCCATCGCCTCCACGCTCGAGCCCCTCTTCCCCTCGGCCGCTGCCTCTGCAGACATGGCGGGGGCCTCACGACGACCCACCTCCACGACAACGATGACGACGACGACGCACCCCCACGACAGCGATGACGACGACGCCTATCATGGCGGTGACCATGATGCCGCCCGCGGCCAGCGACCCGCCTCGTCGTCGCCGTCGTCGCGGGAGCCATGGGCGGCCATGCGCCCCCCGTCTCATTGCGGTGGTGCTGGTACGGGGCTGGCCAAGGGCCGCGGCGTGGAGGAGACGCCCCTCATGGCACCGGCCCCGTCGAGCGACGGCCTGGGCCTGGGCGGCAGGCCCTCTTCCTCCGTGCACTGGGCGTCGTCGTCGTCCCGTCTCACCGATCGCCACCACTGCCACCACCTCGACGACGACGACGACCACAACGGCGGCGGCGGCGGCGGCTCCGCTTCTTCCCACCACCACCACCACTATCCGACTCCGCACGCCCCGCAAGCCGCCGACTGGCGCGGGAACCACCACCTCCGGCCCCGTCCCCGCCACCTCGACGACCACGACGACCACGACGGCGGCGGCAGTGGCGCCACTCGCAGTGATGGCAGCGACCACCCAAGCCGCCGCCATCAGCAGTCACAGCCACAGTCACAGCCGCAGCGTCCGCGGCGTTGGGAGAATGCGGGAGGGGAGGGCGCAGCTGGAGGCGCCCCTACCTCCTCTTCCCGCCACCATCGCCAGCAGCAGCCGCCGCCGCCGCCGTCGCTCTTTTCTCCTGCTCCCCCGCCGGGCACGGATCGGGCGACGCCCGTCTCGCGCTTGGACCGCGACTTTGCGAGCTTCCGCCGGCAGCTCGTCCCCTCGGTACCCCCCCCTACCCCCCAACTTCTTCTTCTTGCCGCCGCTGGCCTCCGCTGACGCGACGCGCCGTCTCGCCTGGGCGTACCCCCCCACCGGCAACCCTCCTCCTCCTCCTCTCCGCAGCAGCAGCAGCAGCAGCCGCCGCCGCCGCCGGAGCGGGTGCGCAGCCGGCCAGACCCGCGTCTCTCGTCGGACGTGTCCACGCCGCCGCCGCCGCTGCCGACACGATCTTCTTCTTCTTCTTTGTCGTCGTCATCAGGAGGAGGAGGAACAGGTGGTGGTGGCGGTGCCTGGTGGTCGCCTCTGTCTGGAGGGCCAGAACCCCAGCGGGTGTCCGGTGCTGCTGTACGCGGCGGGGCCACGTACGACCACGACCACGACCACGACCACGACGACGAAGAAGAGGAGGCACGGGATGCGCTCCTCGGGGCAGGAGAAGCCAGCGGGCCGGCCCAGCAGCCGCCGCCGCACGCGGGGTCGTGGTCGTCGTCGTCGTACGGGGATTTCGTGCGGGGCACGACCGACTGGCTGGCCCTCAATGAGGCTCTTCGCAAGAACGGCCTACCCACCCTCTCCTTCATCTCCCGCCCCGCCCAAAGCCGTACGCCCCCCTCCTCTCCCTTCCTGCTCCTGCCCCCCCCCCGGATGCTGCTGCTGGCTGCTGTTGGTGATGATTGATTGATTGCTGATGACGGGCGACGGCGGCGATGATGCTGCGTATCCCTGCACGCATGCATGCATGCATGGATGGATGCGGCGGCGGCGGGGGGGGGGTCGTTTTGTGGCCACCAACGTTGCGGTGCGAACCAGTGGGCATTCCCAACCCGGCCCACGAACGAGCGCTCTTCCGTACTTTCGAGGTTGGCCTCCCCCTCCCCAACGTCATGGCTGCCGGCTTGCCCTCCCACCACCAGCCACCGCCACCAGCCGCCACCACCATGGCACCATCCATATCACCGCCAATCGATCGGGTGGGCTGAAGGCGGGAGGCGGGTGATGTGTAGGAGGCGCTGGTGCAGCTCCATCGGCGGGCTCTGCTCCTGGACCAGCTCATCGAGGTCGTCCACCCTCCCCCCCACCCGTCTTCTTCTTCTTCTTCTGCTTCTTCCTCTCGTTGGCCGGTGAGGCCCTCGGTTGCCGCCGGATGGACCTCCTCCTCCTCCTCCTGGGTCCCGCCTCGTGGGCTCACGGGTCTGCTCACCACCACCACCACCAAACCACCACCACTGCGTGCAGGCCAACAAGCGGGCAGAGGCGCGCGTGGCCAAGTACAAGGACGAGGCCGCCCAGCTTCGCCTGCAGCGCGACAAGGTACCTCACCCGGTCGGTGCCCATGGGTGGGCGGGTGGTGGGTAGCCGCACGGCACACGGCGCTGCGTGTCGCCTCGCGGCCACGGACACGTTGGGTCGCGTCGCGTCGCGTCTGGTCCTGTCCTCGCTGCCTCCTCATATTCTCTTGTATTCTCCTCCATTGCGGGGGCAGCTGCAGCGCTGTTGGCTGGAGACGGAGTCCTCCATCGAGACCATGCAGCAGCAGTACATGCGCAAGCACAACGTACGTTACGCTACGCTCTTCTTACGTTTTCTTGTTTTCTCTGGTGAGCCCCTGCCCCCCCCCATCTATTACGATCGGCCGACTCACGGGCGGCAATATGGGGGACTGTTGGTTGTTTGTTTGTTGGGTGGTGTGCGGTGGTGCGCCTGCCTCCTCTTATCCCCCCCCCCACCAATCTCTTTTGCCCTTTTGGCATACCAGGAGCAGCTGGAGGACTTCTTCAAGCTCCGCAAGGAACACGACCACAACCTGCACACACTCAAGGTGCCCCTCCTCCATCGTGCGCGGATCCACGCAGCCGCGGGCCTTCAGCGTAGTGGTTTGCCGCGCAGCAGCCTAGGACCGAAGCTGACGCCGACCTCCGCACAGGAGCAAGAGCGGGCGTTGCAGGCCAAGGACCTCGAAATCGCCGCCCTCCGGCGACACCTGGAGCGGGGCTGAGGGCCGGAGCAGCAGCCCGCAGCAACCACCGCCCACGCCCACGCCCACGCGCCACGAAGGCAGCCCGCTGTGGTGGGCGAACATGGAAAGGTCTGCAGTCGTAGTAGTAGTAGTATGTACACACGTGTTGCATTTCTCGTGATCGGTCGGTCGGGAAAGGAGGGCGTCCCTCTCCCCCGCGCATTCGCCTCTCATGCGTTCTCTTCTCTCTCTCTCTCTCTCTCTCTCACTTCCTGGTGGTGGTGGTGGTGGTGCTGCCAAGGAACTCACGAGGAGCCGAAGACGGGGAAGTCGACGGTGAGGAAGTCCTTGTAGAACTGGTCTATCCTGGCCAGCTCCTGCTGGTGCGGACACACCACGCACGCGCACCCTGTGTCCACCCCGCCCCCGCCCCCGCCCCGCCCACAACAAAGCACGCAAGGACGTCAGCACGTGGTAGTTCTCCTCGTGTGTGGCGGAGGAGGTGAGGAGGTGAGGCCTCGTCGTCGTCGTCCGCAAGAAGGGCATCTCGCGTCGTACCTTCGGAGGGGTTGTGGTCGGAGGGCTCCTTCTTGACCTGCTTGAGTGGGTTGAGTGCGGTGACGGCGCACGTGAAGAAGGTCCCCACACGCTCGGCGTCCTGGGATGAGGCCCGTCGCATGAAGCGCCGGATGCGCGCCGCCCTTTCTTCGAACGGCAGCCGCGCGTAGACCGCCAGGAACTGCTCCAGGCCCTGCTCCAGCTCGTCCACCGGCTCCGCCGCTGCGGAACTGCTCGTCGTCGTGGTCGTGGTGGGGTGCATGAGCGACGGGTCGTTGGCCGCGTCCTGCTGCCCATAGGCGTGGTGATGGTGGCTGTGGCCGTGCAGTTCGCTGCTCATCGAGCGGGCCAGGCAGGCCGAGCCGTCCGAGTCTTCGTCGTCGTCGTCCTCCTCCTCGGCCTCGTCGTCGTCGTTGCTGCGGATCTGGAGGGAGCGCGGCGGCGACGGGAGGCGCGGGTGCTGCTGGACGTGGAGCGCGGCGTGGAAGCCGGCGCCCATCATCAACGAGGACGGGGACGGTACGCCGAATGGGCTCCCGTTGCCGCCGCTGCCGCTGGAGAAGGCGAGCGAGGGCGACGGCAGCGAGAGCGAGGGCGAGGGGGCCGGCGGCACGGAAGACGACGACGACGAGGAGGAGGAGGGCAGCGGGAACGGGTGGGAGTGGGAGAGTGGGAGGAGGGGTTCGGGGCTCGACGAGTCGCCCAGGGGTGGCATCAGGAGCGAGCTCGCGGCGGCGGCGGCGTCGGGGTTGAGGCGGCGGCGCTTGAGGAGGTGGTCGACGAGGCGGTGCTGGCGGCGCTGGTGTAGCTCGATGCGGTGGACGGCCTCGATGAGGAGGTCGTTGAGGGAGCGCTTCTTGGACTGTGTCTTCTTTTTGGACTGCTTGGGCTTGGAGATGACCTTGATGGGCTCCGACACGAGCTCGAGGGGCGGCACCAGCGGCTGCCGGGTCTTCTGCTGGAGGGCGGCCACCCGCACCCGGAAGAACATGTCCTCGTGCTGCGACGTGAGCACCTTGATCTTCATGTTGAGCGTCACCTGGTCCCCGCTCTCGTTCACTACCGGCTTGTACTCGATCGGCTTCGTCTTCACGAACGACACCGGCTTCAGCGCCTCGCTGTCGTATACCAGCGACGCCTCCAGCGCCAGCCACCTGCCCGCACAAGGTTACACACACGAACGCAACGCGCACACGACACGCGACACACGACACACACGATCAGCGCACAATGCAATGATGGCACACCACGACGACGACACGTATACACGACACAAACAGGCGAGGACGAGAAAGCAGTCCGGGAGGAAGAGGAGGGAAGCGAGAGACGAGAGGGGAACGAGAGGGAGGAGCCGAAAGGGCGGATGGACCACCACCACCAGCCAGCACCAGCCACCGCGTGGTGAAGGCAAATAAATAAATAAATAGGGGCGATGGGTGGTGGTGGTGGCGGTGGTGGGCAGGGAGCGTACTTGAGGCTGAGGGGCGGCGGGGCGTCGGTGGCGGAGGCGGGGCGGGGCGGCTGGGCGAGGGCGATGTGGAGGGCGAAGGGGCAGGCCTTGACGACGACGTGCACGTTCTTCTGGAGGCCGTTGCGGGACACGCGCTCCACCACCGACGACGTCTGCCGCACCAGCGCCAGCTGCGGACCCTCGAGGGCCGCCACGCCCGCCATCGCCCGCAGGTCCTCCTGCAGGCCCAGCCCGCCGCTCCCGCCGAGTCCGCCTCCCGCGGCCGCGGCCATGTGGCCCACCACCACCGGCGGTGGAGGGAAGTACTGCGGTTGCTGCTGCTGCAGCATTTCTTATTATTTTTCTTATTACTCTGTTCTGGTCTCTTTCCTTCTCTCCTCCTCCGCCTCGTGTGCGTCTCCTCTCTACAAAGTGGTCGTCTTCTTATGGCGGTTTGGATGCTGCTGCTGCTCTGCTTCACCTCGGGCAACACGTAAGGGACCCGCTACGTGCCGGGGGGAGGGCTGCTGTTGTTGTCGTTGTCGTGCCTGCGCGCGTAAGTCCCTGTTGGTGTTGTCCGATAAACCGCGCGTGTCGTTGGGAGGGAAGCTCCGTAATGAAGGGGGGGGGCAGGTGTTGGTTACTTCTCGTGCGCCTCGGGCGAGAGAAAACAAAAATAATTCGGTGCCTTCCTTTGTCGGCAGGCCCGCCCGGCCAACAACAGGTTGTCGGCGGTGGGGAAAGGCGATGGCTTTTTCCTCCAGCCCGAAAAGCCCCGGTGCTGAAAGCACGCTAGGCACGCCGTCACGTGGCCAATGGTATCTCGTAGGTTTTCCTTTCTTCTACCAAATTTCTTCTACCAAACCCAACAGATCACAACACAAGTGCCAGCAGCATGGCCACGGCCAGCATCATCAGCGCCGAACTTCGCGACTGGAAGCGCACCACGTACGTGGACACCTCCCAAATGGACGGCACTCAAGCGGGGGCGAGCTCACCATGTCCCGACATGGGGAGGGGTTGCTGCAGGCGCTACGAACCCAACGAGGAGGAGGTGGCGGTGTTGCAGAAATGCCGCGCGAGGGAGAGCAACCTCCAGTCCATCGGCTCGCTGACGGGTCTTGGCCTGGGCATGCTCTTCTGTGCGCACCTCCTCCTCCTCCTCCTCATCTCTCTTGCTCTTCCTCGGGGGGGGGGGCGTGCTGCATGTGTTGCTCTCGTGTGCACACGCGCGCTCATATCTTAATCTGCGGTGGCGGTGCGGTGGCGGTGGAGCGCAGTCGCCACGGGGAGTCCGGTGTGCCGTGCGTTGTCCCTCGAACGAGTGAGCGGGGCCGTGCGCGGGGCCGGCATTTTCGGTACCGCACCCCTCCACGCCCCCTCTACTCCATACCGGCCAACGCGCGGCTGGCGCCTGTCGAGCGGTCCGCGAGTCAGTGCTCACACGCCCTGTCCGTCCGTTTTGTCGCCGATCGCGTGCACTACTCCTACTACCCCTACTCCTGCTGCTGCTGCTGCTGCTGCTGCTGCTAGTGCCGATGGTGGTGGGGTCGGGCCTGGGCAACAGCAAGGCCCAGAGCGACTGCCTCAAGCTGATGCTGCCCCTGCAGACCCCGCTCGGGCACCAATCCCGGCTCTTGTGCGCGCCCTCCCCTCAAGAGCCCCGCACTCGCGCCAAAGGGAGCTCACAAGGAAATCGGGGCTGGCGCGCGCGTGTCGTGTGCGTGTGTAGGTTGCGCCAGCACGACCCGCAATCGAGACTCACGCGGCAGTTCCCCGTGGAAGAGGGCATCGACTCGAGCGAGGAGGCCACGTTCGAGTATGTGGGGGGCGCCCGCCCCCGACCTTTCGTGGCCTCCCACGGCTCACACGACCACCGGACCGCCTACGGCGACCACGCCGCATCCCCGGCGCCTCGCGACACCTCCTCCTCCTCCTCCTCCTCCGGCCCATCGTCTCCGTCGTGGGGGCGTGGCCGTGAAAGCCCCCCCACCTATCGGCAGACGCAGCAGCAGCAGCAGCAGCAGCAGCAGCAGGAGGAGGAGGAAGACGACGCCACCACCTCCTCGTCGTCGCCGTCGTCTACGGCGGCGCTGCGTAGAGCCCAGTACAAGCGTGCCCAACTGCGCAGGCAGCTAGCCGGAGGCGGAGACGGCGAAGAGGAGAGTGGCGGCCAAGACGCGGCAGGAGGCGGCGGCGGCGGCGGGATGGCAGGCCATGACCTCCACTCGCACGCGGCGGGTCTGACCTACCAGCAGCAGCAGGACGAAGAGGCGGCGGGGGACGTGGGCGGACAACGGCGAGAGGAGGTTTCGGCGGAGGCGCTCCGACGACGCCGCGTCAAGGAGGCCCTCGAAAGGAGGAAGGCCGCGCATCGCGACCAGCAGCAGCACGCCGGGGCGTGGGCCGACGACGACTACGAGGGACGGGGAGAACGAGCACGCACGACGCGATCCACCACCGTAGCCCGCAACAACCCCTACGGCGACAGCTAAGCTCATCTCGTGGGGGGGGGGTTGGTCCGCAAACGTGTAGGGGCGGAAACACGACGATGCTGATGATGGTGAAACACGCGGAGGAGGAGGAACAAAAGAGTTCTTCGAGTGGATGGTGGATGGTGGTTGAGGGGTTTCAGAGGGTGTTGCCGAAGAGGACGGAGAGGGACTTTTCCTCGTGGATGCGGCGGATGGCGCGGGCGAGGAGGGGCGCGATGGAGAGGACGTGGAGCTTGTCGCAGCGTGCCTTGTTGTGCTCCTGCGGGATGGAGTCGGTGACGTAGACGGCGGTGAGGCACGACGCGTTGATGCGGTCCATCGCGGCGCCCCCGGAGAAGACGCCGTGGGTGGCGCAGGCGATGACGTCCGTGGCGCCGTTCTCCTTGAGCAGCTCGGCGGCCTTGCACAGGGTGCCGGCGGTGTCGATGATGTCGTCGATGATGACGCACTTCTTGCCGTCGACGGAGCCCACGATCTGCATGGCCTCGATCACGTTGGCCTGCGCGCGACGCTTGAGGATGGTGGCCACGTTCTCGGCGTGCAGCTTGTCGGCCACTCGCCGCGCCCGGAGCACGCCGCCGGCATCGGGCGACACGATGACCACGTCGGCGGGCTCCGGGTACTTGAGCCGCAGCGTATCGATGAACTCGCCCTCGGCGAACAGGTTGTCCACCGGCGTGTGGTGGAAGAAGCCCTGGATCTGCCCGCAGTGCAGGTCCACCGTCACCACTCGATCCGCTCCTAATCACCAAGACATACATTTTTATAAATATATTTCAGAATAGATTTAAAACAGAATAAATTATTAGATAGAAGCAAGGATTTGGAGAGGGGGGGGGGCAGTCTGAGTACTAAAAGGCCCCAAGAACCACCGGAAAGGCTTATTGTGGCGTGCGTATGTAGCGAATACGCAAATTACGAATAATTAACGGTACATGGTCGGAGCAAGAAAAACATTAATAATAAAGATATTAATGATAGGGGCGGGGGTGAAGAAGGAGAGAGCAAAGGGTGCGCACCCATGGTCTCGATGAGCTGTGCCACGGCACTGGCCGAGATGGGGACGCGGGGACGAGTCTTGCGGTCCTGGCGAGCGTAGCCGTAGTAGGGGATGACGGCGGTAATTCGCTTGGCCGAGGAGAGCTTGATGGTCTGGAGGAGCAGGAGCAACTCCATGAGGTTGTCATTGACGGGAGGCGAGGTGCCCTGGATGACGAAGACGTCGGCACCACGAATGTTTTCCTTGATCTGCATGTTGATCTCGCCATCGGCAAACTTGGCCACCTCGCAGTCGCACAATCGCACGCCGAGGGCCTCCGAGATGTCCTTGCCCAGCTTGGGGTTGGCATTGCCCATGAGCGCCTTGATCACGTATCCCGACGCCTCGTCATCGCCCGGCCGCTCCATGCTGCTGCTCGCTGCTCCCTGCTACTACTGGGGGGGGGGGTGTGGTGGGTGCCGCTGCCGCTGCCTGCCGAACAACCTCCAGCAGCAGCTCCGCTTCGCCTTCCGCCCCCCCCCGTCAACCTCCGGCGTGCCTGGCATTCCCCATCCCCGAAACAATGTTTGGCATCCAAACTGGCCCCACCACTCCGCCACTCCGGGTGCGTTCCCAACGAGCCCACCACTCTGGAGTGCACTCCACCCCACCTTCCGCCAGCAGCAGCAGCAGCAGGGCCAGGACCGGCGGCAGCGGCAGCGGCAGCAGCAGCATCGTACCACCACCACCACCACCACCGTCGTCACTCGCCAGCGTACGATGTCTTCTGCCACGAGGCGCCCTCCCCACCACCAGCAGCAGCAGCACGCCCCCCAGGGCGCGACGGCCACCAAAGAGGCGGCGGCGGAGGCGCGCGGCACGAGCGTGGGCGGCTGGGTGCTGCCCGCCATCGGCCTCTTCGTGGGCGTACTCACCCTCACCCTCACGTACCCCCTCCCCTCCCCCCTTTTTAGCTACGCGTGCGCAGCGTGCGAGCCCCACTCCCCGCACTGGCACCCCCCCCCAAGGGGGGTGCAACACCAACACACGCCGGCACACGGCACACGGCACACGGCACACGGCACACGGCACACGGCACACGGCACACGGCACACGGCACACGGCACACGGCACACGGCACACGGCACACGGCACACGGCACACGGCACACGGCACACGGCACACGGCACACGGCACACGGCACACGGCACACGGCACACGGGGCACGGGGCACGGGGCACGGGGCACATTTATATAGATATATAAGTGTACGGGTGTGTTGTGTGTGCGTGTTGTGTGTGTTGCGTGCCATAGGTACGTGCTGGCCATGGCCTATGCTCCCAATGGGTCCGTGCAGTACTGGTTCATCTCCCAGGTGCGCCCCTCCCTGGTGCACCAGCAGCCACCACCAGCCACCCGGCAGCAGCAGCGGTTGCACAACCCCGCTCGGCCCTCTCTGATGACCCAATCCCGCCGCCGGCGCCGCTGATGTGATGGCCATGACATGTCGAACGGACGTAGGGACGGGACGACATGTCTACTCACGCTCATACTCCCATTTATATATATATATATTTCTATATATGATGTGTGGTGCCCCATATAGATGGGGTCCAACCGGCCGGCCTACTTTTTCTACGCGTACGGCTGCTGCCTTGCCGCAGGTGAGGAGCACCTCCTCCCTCTCTCTTCTCTCTCTTGAGCACTCTCCCGCCAGTGCCGCGGCCGCCTCTCTGGGGGACTCGCCAGGCCTCCTCCTCCTCCTAAGCCCGGTGGTGGCGCGGTGGTGGCGGTGGCGGCAGGGCTGCTGATCCCGTGCGCGTGGATCTTCGCCGCCCACAACGCTTCCAAGCTGCAAACCGATCTCTCCCGCGTGCGCCGCACCCTCAACTCCCTCTCCATGGCGTCCGGTAGGCCCCTCACTGCCCGCCCGTGCGCCCGTCTTCCTCACCTCACCCTTGCCCGCGGCTCTGTGGTGTACGTGTGTGTCGTGTGTCGTGTGTCGTATGTCGTGTGTGTCGTGTTTGTGTGTGTTTGTGCGTGCGTGTGTGTGGTGTGTGGTGTGTGGTGTGTGGTGTGTGGTGTGTGGTGTGGTGTGGTGTGTCGTATGTCGCGTGTCGTATGTCGTGTGTGTGAGCAGCCATTGTGTCGGTGCTGGCGTTGGGCGGCCAGAGCGTGTACCCCATGGGTGACGGTACGCAAACGGGGCAACGAGGCGGGTGGAGAGCCAGTGGGGGGGGGGCATGTGGCTGACCAGCACGGGCCTTCTATCCGGCATGTACGTGGCCGTGCCGTGCCATAGGCAATCCGATCCACATCGGATTCGCGTCCCTGTTCTTCCTGGGGGTGTGGGCGCATGCCCTCCTCACGGCCCTCCTCTACGCCCACGCCTATCGTGATCCTCGGGTATGTAGCGTGGCTGGTGGTGGGTGGTGGTGGTGGCTGCTGGTGGTAGGAGCCCGCTTGCAGTCCTCTCCCAACCCGCGCGTGCACCTGGTGTGCTGCTGCTGACGGGCAAACTCTCTCTCTCTCTCTCTCTTTGGGGCTTCCAAAGGTGGTCATGGGCGAACACGAGGGCTTCTGGGTGCAGTGGAAGGCGCTGTGCACGGCCCTGACCTCCGTTTTCACCCTTCTCAGTAGGTCGCCCCATTCTCTTGGCCACCACCTGTTTGTTTAGTTTAGTTTTGTTTGTGCTCACCGCTGCTCCCCCCCCCATGTGTCGCTGCCGTCGCCAACGCGCGCTTGGGTCCACATGCCCGCAGCTGTGGGGGTGCTGGCCTTCGATGGGTGGCTGCATTTGGACGAGGGCTTAACGTGGGGGCCTTCCTTCGTCTCCTGGCTCACCGCCGAGAAGGAAAAGGTACTCGCTCTCTCCTCACCCCGCCCTGTTCCTCGGTAACGCCCGTGTCCCTCCCGTACCAAGTCCGCGTGGATGATGAGCGGGGCTGTGTGCGAGTACCTGACAGTGGTGCGGTGCCGCCCTTTTTTCTTTCTCTCTTCCCTCCCCCCCATAGAGCTGCACACCTGACTGATGAGTGTGAGGCACATCACTTGACCAGGCGAGCCTACTGTGCTACTTCATCTCCTACTTCCACGACCTGGCCCACGTCCAGATCGTTGTCTGCCAATCCGCGCCAGTGACCTCTTCCCCTGCTGGGCGAAAGCACAGGCGCCAGCACTGATGCCCTATTGCAACACCCACAAGCAAATTATATGTCAACATGCAAGGTGGGCTGAGCTGAAGTTTGGACAACTTGGTCTTACCCAGGGGATAATGGTGCCAGTTGTGATTGTGCCCACCTCACTGAGTCATAAATGTGGTACCTAACAGAAGGGTGGTGGGTGGGTGGCTGTGGCCAAGGTGCACAAGTGGCAAGGGGGGATCACAAAGGCAGAGCTGAAAGAAAATAGAGAGATTTCTCAAACCAGAAGGTGTACATTGACACCATCCTTGGTGAGTCTGCATGGCACTCATGGTGGTTGTGCTTACTCTGATCTGCTCTGGTGGTTGAAAATAGGTTCAACTGTGGAGGAAAACAATGTGATGGGGTGGGGAGAAGGATTGGGAAGCTCTAAGCTCTGGATGAGGAAGCTGTAGAGGCTGATGTGAAGCGGGGTGCAGTCTGATGATTGAGCAGTGAGGAAAGCAGGAGCAGAGTGGACAACCTCATGTGTTGGGTGTGGGATGGGGATGTGGTGCAGATAGCAGAAGGGTTTGGGGATGGTGTCGCTGGGCAGAGGATGCCAGATGGCAGACATGTTAACCCTCTTGTGGCTGAAGATGACAACATCAAAGCCACTAATGAGACATTCAGAGGCAGGCATGGAGCTGGAGTAAGTTGGGGAGCTGTAGTAGCCTTTTGATCATGCTCCAGTGGTTGGTGATTAGTGACCAGAAGTTCTCTGGCAAGAGGGAAGTAGTTAGACTTGTGGGGAGAAGAACAAAAGAACTAAAAAGAAAGGACATACTCTTGGAAGGGGCTTGGTGTTGATAGTGCTTATAATGATGAAGCACAGCAATCATGTCATTGGCACTCAATTCCCTGAAGGCACCAGAGTTGAGGTTGTCAAGGGACATAAACACCTGACCCTCTGGAATGAGGTGATAGAGTTCCTTGATAAGACTGGAAAAGGGGAACAGTTAGCAAGGACTCAAAACAAAGGTGAAGAGTTAGAGTAGAAATAACATACTCCACCACTCCTGGAGCATGGAACAGGGCCCTTAAGGTAGTTGAGTACTTCTGCAGAGTGGTGGGCTTTGGTGCAGCATGACCCTCAAGCGTTTTCTGTGAGGTGTGGGGTGATGAGTAATGGTTTGAAATACAAAGGTGGTGGACATACCAGGTGCTCAGCAAGAGCATTGTAGTTGGTAACAGTTTTTTTGCCATGTGTGATCTGGAAGAGTGGGTTTTGGCCAAGGGTGTAGTAGTTCAGGGCCTTCTCAAAAGCATTCAGGACAACTGAGCCCACCAAGTTGATGTAGTTCTCAAAGCCAGAGATGCAGTCAAGGATGATCCAGCTGAGTTCCATCCCTGCAGCTGCTGGCACAACTTCATAGACATTCTCCCACTGCCAGTGCTTGATGAGGTTCCAGACCACAACTCTGTGGTTACAATCAACGGCCTCTGGAAGGTTAAAAGTTAGTACCCAAAAAAACCAATGCGCATTGGGAATTGCAAATAGCCTAAAAACCATGAGTGCAGCTAAAACGAAGTGGTGTGGGAAGTAATACCAAACTCATCAACATTGTTTTGGTCAAGGCGCTCATCTTCATTGAGAAATCTAACAATGAAGGGCTTGGTTGTGAGACACCCTCCATCCACAACAGACTGCAGCAAGTGATGAATTCCTGGAACTGTCACTGGGTGATGCCATTCTGATGGCAGTGCAGGTGGTTAGCAAGTGAAAGCATCTACACATTGCCAGAATGAAAAGAGGAGTTGTACCAAAGATGGTGTAGTTGTGAAGATCAAGGTGGCGTGATGTGGGTTGAAACCAAGGCTGGCACTGATGATGTTGGGGTTGGACTGAAGTGATTGGAAATTTGGGAGTGTATGAATTTTCCTTTCTGAATAGTAAGGTTGAGGTCAGCAACACAAACTGTTAGAGAACATGGTTCTCACAGGTCGAAAATAAAACTGATGTGCATTGGGAAAAGAGTCAACAAATAAAAAACCTGATGCACATCAGGAAAAGAGTCAACAAATAAAAAACCTGATGTGCATTGGGAAAAGAGTTGACAAATAAAAAACCTGATGTGCATTGGGAAAAGAGTTGACAAATAAAAAACCTGATGTGCATTGGGAAAAGAGTTGACAAATAAAAAACCTGATGTGCATTGGGAAAAGAGTCCACAAATAAAAAAACTGATGCACATTGGTTTGGAACTTGTCAGTGTGGTGAACAGTAAAAACACACAAAGTGTACATACCTAGCTCCAGGTCAGGCAGGGCAAGTAGTCTGGCGGCCTCCTTGCGTTGCTCTTCAGTGTTGCCTGCAGAGTACTGGCGCACCACCAGCTGCTTGTGAGGCTTGGTCTTGATCTCCTCCACCTCCATCTCCTTGTCCACATCAATCACCTCTGGGTGTGTGCATTTCCTCTCCTTGCACTCTTCCTCTACCAGCTTGCACTTCCTTGGCAGCACTTGGTGCTGCTCCTCCTCCAGCTCCTCCACCTCCAACTCCTCCTCCCGCTCCTCCTCTCCCTTCTCCTCCTCTTTCTCCTCCTCCTCCAGCTCCACCCCCTTCTATACGCCTTGGTGATAACCTTGGTGTTGGGTTGCTGGTGCACCTTCACTAGGGCATTACAGGAGCTTGCTAGAAGCTCAGTGGCCAACATGGCCAAGAAGTTGGGAAGGCCAGAGGCAGCTTGGCAAGAAGACATTGAAAGGAAGTGTGTGTTGAACATGGGTGGTACAACAAAATGATCAATACAGGTTGTTCAATGTTTTATAGGTAGTGCAGGTCTACAAAAAAGCTGTCCACATTAAATTCTAATTGGAGGAACAGGAAACAGGTGGCGAAATTTCATGTGGTCTGGAGAGCTTTGAGATCTTCCCAATGTGCATTGGGTTTGTTATTTGTCAACTTGCTTCCCAATGCGCATCAGGTTTTTATTTGTTGACTTGCTTCCCAATGCACATCAGGTTTTTTATTTGTCAACTCTTATCCCAATGCACATCAGTTTTATTTTGTTGTCCTGTTTCCCAATGGTGTTGGGTTTTTAAAGTTGTCCCATATTTTCCTCAACTCCACTGTTATTAGTTGTGAGCTCATTGGTCTGGAGTTCCAGAAACACAAAGTTCACCAATCCAGAAAAACCACATCTATCTGTTATGTGGCCATTGGGAATTGGAGGTATCACACCAAATGTTTAAATACCTCTCCAGTGTCATTCAGTTGTTCTCCACCTCAATGAGCCACTCTCTCCCCACCAACACAGAGGTCCTCGCCTCTACCCTACTATCCCCAATCTTCAGCCAGTCCTTACAAGCCACAGCTCATACTCCAAGGAAGAGAGTTCTCCAAACTGCTGAAGAGTGGATCCCCAAAAAGCGTCGCCTGCTTGTCAGCAATGATCACATCAATACTGTTCTTGCATCATTCTGTTGTTGTAAGAAATGCCTTGATAACTTCTCCTTTGCTGACATTCTCAACATCACACAACCCTTTGCAGATCTCAATGAACGCAATTGCACCACCTACATCATCAACATCATGTCAGCCAGCTGTGTCTCAACACTACCTGAGTGCCACTTCAAGTTGTGACTCAATGGTTCTCCAGTGTGTTTGAATGCTTTCCAAAAGGTGCCAACCCTTTTTATTGCAGCCTTACATTTGTTATCCCACCTCACATTGCTGCTCTACAAGGCGCATGGTTTCAGCAGGAAGAAGTGGCGTTCTGCTAAACAGATTTTCATTTCTGGTGGGCGTGTCCCAATACACAACACCACTGGACTGCAACGTCCCTCAAATGCCACCTCAAATACCCACTTATGGCTAACCACTTTCTTTGATGTTATTGGAGATCGCCTTCCTGATGCCACCATCCACTTACCTATTTCTTTGACTTGGTGAGAAGTGCACTCTATGTGTGCCAATGCTCATCCCTCAACTGTTCCTGTGCTCACCTATTCTGCTATGCTCAAACACATTTCTGTTGGTTGGGCATACACATGAAGACATTGACCAGCTCTTCTCCACTGCTCAGACAAAGTTCCATACCTCTTCCATTCACACCCCAAGGTAATGGTCATCACTCTTTTTTTGTCTTGATTGTTTTCCTGATGCGCATTGGGTTTTTTATTTGTCGACTCATTACCCCAATGCACATCGGTTTTTTCTGTCAGCATTAATGATTGCCCCTTTTTGTTCACCTTCCTAACTTCATCTTCAAATTTCAGTCAACTTTCTGGTTTTCTTGAGCAGGCTTACTGATCCACTGGCCCAGCTCCTTCCCTGCACACCCTTGAAACTGTTTGGGACTGGAAGAGCTGGCTTGGAAATCACATGCATGGCCTGACTGGTCACTCCACCCCCCATGTTTTCCATTTTTTCCATGATGCTTCAGGCAAACCAGTGATCCAGGACAAAGCCTACCACACCCAAGGAGCCTACTCTGAGCCATACCAGCTTCTCACATCCATTCCAACTGGTTTGCTCCTCACTATGTTGCACACACCCTACCAAAAGATATCACAACTTACACAAACCACATCAGGAGCACCTTTCACTATCCCGCCTCAGCAATTTCCGCCTGAAGTGCTTACTGAGTTGGCTGACAACTGCCATGCTCCACTGTTCCTTGAGTCTGAGCTTAGTGAGTGGGCTGATATCTTTGAAGCACATGAGGCTCTTGTTTCAAGCTCCCAACCCACCTGTGATAACTTGATTTTTGATGGACTCACAGCTCACCCCATCACTAATCCTCTCCTTGATGGTCCATTGTTCCGTCTCCAAACCAGGGTCAAGGTTGTCCACACATGGACTACACCCCAAGTCCAACGTTTCAACTTTGCTCCTGGTCAGTGGGTCTGGGCTGATGCTGATGAAGACACTCAGGACTTTTGGATATGCAAGATCATCAGTGTTCTCTGTAAGAGGCTCCATGTCCACTGGTGGAACTTTGCTAATGGACGCTGGACTGACCATGGCTCAGAAAGCACTGTTCCAATGGGGTGTGTTTTAGCTTGTGGCTTTGACTTTAACGCCAACACTGGAGTTCCCCCACCCACCCTTCAAGAAATATTTAGACACCTGTAAATAAAACTTCTCTTCTCTGTGTACATTCAAATTCCACAGTGTTTTTATCTCATGTACACCTGTTTTTAGTTTCATTAAAAAGTACCACTATCACCTTTTTCTGGACACAGTGTTTGCAGTTGATCATGAACTGGATGTGAGAGCAGCATGTTGCCACTGATTATGGAGACTGGAAGGGAGGGTTTTAAAGAGGTTCAAAAGAGACATGAAGCAACAACCCTGCCAACTGCCATGGCCACTGATGAGGAGCTGTTGAAGCTCCTGAAGGAGGTATGCTTTTCATGCTGTTTGTGAAGCCAATTATGTACCACAACTGCAGGACGTTCTATTGTGTACATGTACATGATAGAATGTTTGCTAATTCATCTCCTCCTAGCCCACAGAAGAGGAGCTCTCCATGCCTCCAGAGGAGGCCCTCCTCAAGTGTTATGGTGTCCTCTGTGTGGATCATGTGAAGATGAATGCTGCAATGATTGACATTGACTGAATGACAAAGAGTGGCCCTCATTGGTTGGTGACTGCTAGAGGACACAGAGTTCTCTCAACATCAATGAATTAGATGGGTGTTCTGACAATGGGGCATCTGCTTGTTCAATAGCTGCCTCCCTCTCAGTGCATCCTCAAAGATGGGATGCCTGAGTACTGCATCATTGATGGCAATCATCACATTCAGACTGCATGGTGGCTTTTCCCTGGGAATGGTGTTGTGACATTGTCAATGTATGTTTTTCTTTTTCCAACTCACTTTGATGATGTCCCTGGTCCAACTAATACCCTTTCTCCATTTCCAGAACAAGGTCTCAGAAGATGACATTCACATCCTTGTGTGAGGCTGGAACCACATGCACAATGAGGCTGCAGTTCACAAGGATGAGTGGGAGGACTTCTTCCAGTACCATGACACCCTACACACCAACAAGTTCTGGACCACTACTCAAGGCAAGCAAGCCATCAACTGGAAAAAGCTCATCAGCCACAAGAACCTCATCCATTTCAAGTTGCCACTGTCCTGTCACCAAGCATGGTGGTCACAGGACCTCACATTTGCTGGGTCTGTGACGCAGGAAAGAAAAAGGAAATGAGTGAGGAGTGTCGACAAATACATGAGTGGCATTCCGGTTGTGTTGTTGCCCCAACCGAAAAAGCCACAGCAGCGCCAAGAAGGAGGAGGCGGACTGGTACGGTCGCATGGAGGGCAGCCAACAGAAGCAGCAGGAGGAGGAGGCGGAGAGAAATCCTCACAGCAGCGGCAGCGGCAGCAGCGCAGCAGTGGCCATGGCTGAGGACCCCAAGGCCCGCACCCCCCCTGCTACTACTACAACCCCTACCCTTAGCCCTAGCCCTACCACGAACACCAAGATGGGGGCCGCGGGAGACGCGAGTGGGCCTCGGGCGGGAGGGAGTGCTGTAGCGTGGCCAGACCGACCCGCCGACGAGGAGGAGGCTGGGACCAAGAACAAGAACAAGAAGAAGGGGGCCAGCAACGCGTTGGACAAGAAAAAGAAGAACCGCCAGCCCGAAGAAAACGACGACGACGAGAGCAGCGAGAGCGAGAGCGAGAGCGAGAGCGAGAGCGAGAGCACGGACGAGGAGGAGGAGGAAGAGGAGGACACGCTCTCTTCGTCGTCGTCGTCGTCGTCTTTCTCGTCGGCTTCGACCTCTTCGGCCAGCCATTTCCGTCGGCCCGACAAGGAGGGCGCCCCTGCCGCCACCGCCACGGCCGGCGAGTCTACGGAGCCCGGCGGGGGCGGGGGCGGGTTGGGGCGTGGGGGCGGTGGCGGGGTGGCGGGTGAGGAGAGCAGCGGGAGCTGGGCCATCCTCGGGCAGCTGGGGAGCAAGCCGCGCAAGGAGACCTACGGCGACGACAAGGAGTCGCGACGGCAGTACCGCCAGGCCAAGAAGGACTACGGCGAACGCAAGCGCACCCTCATCGACTCGCTCACTGCCGACGAAGTGCGCGAGTACAAGAAGGAGAAAAAGGAGCTCACCGAAAAGGAGCGCCTCGAGCGCAAGCGCGAGCGGGACGAACGCCGCCGCCTCGTCAAGGAGAAGAAAAAGGTCCGCACACACCACTTCTTTGACTGCTTTTCTCTTCTTTTTTTTTTTTTGTATTATTATTGTTATGGTTATGGTTATGGTTTTCAAATTAATAATGTGTAGAGCTCTGTATTCAATTGTTGTTTAATCATGATTATTTTATTTATTGTTTTCCTGTGTTGTTGTTCGATATCGTGGCGTCGTGTGGTGGTGGTGGTGGGCAACCAGCTCTACAAGAAACCCAAGATCGGGAAGCTCGTTACACAGGAGACCAAGAGCTATGAGCTGGTGTGCGACATGCTCCTCGGCATTCGCGTCACCGTCTCCAAAGTGTCTGCCCGCCCTCTCCACGGCAACACCGTCAAGGACTCGGACTTTCGGGTACGCCCCGCCGTCCCCCCCCAACGCTCCCCCCCCCGGGCACGTGGGCGGCCAGCCCTGGGTTGGTTGCTGCTGCCGGCAGGGGCGAGGGGCATGCGCTCCCGCCTCGCCTGGTGGCTGGTGGTGGCTGGTGACTCATCTTCTCTGCTCCGCCCTCGCCCCGTTATCATCGTCATAATCGGCGTGTGGTGGGTGGCTGGTGGCTGGTGGCTGGTGGCTGGTGGTGGCTGGTGGTGGCTGGTGGCTGGTGGGTGGCTGGTGGTGGCTGGTGGGAGAACAGAGGGTGCACAATCTGCGGTTTCCTTCGACGGGCTCCACGAGCGGCGTAATCCCCACTCCGGCTCATTCCCAAAGGCGTGCCCATCCCCCCTTTTCCCGCTTTCCTCTTTATTCCATTCCCTGGTTATTCTTTGATTACTTATTTATTTATTTATGTATTATCTATTATTGCGTTTATTCTGTTATCCATCTCGCGGACATGGGCTGTGTCTCGCCAACGACCATCGGCACTGCCGCGCACGCCCTGACCTTCTGCCTCTTTCTCTCTCTCTCTGCGGGGGGGGGGCGTACAACAAAAATCAGGGATTTCACGTTCAGGGACTACGCCCCCGTGGTATTCCGACGGCTGAGGGAGCACTTTGGCATCGAGGCCGACGACTATCTCGTAAGGCTCCCCCCCGCGCGCGCGCCTAACCACCCGCCCCTGTTTGTTTTTTTTTTTTTGTTTTGTTTCATTTCATTTCCACGGCATCTTCCCACGACCACCTTGGCCGTACGGGTGGGTGCGCGACACGCCGTGGCGCGGCTCCTTTTCACATATTGTGTGGCTGCTGCTTGGGGCCGCGGTGGTGGTCGTGGCTGGTGGCTGGTGGCTGGTGGTGCAGATCTCGCTCACAGGTGACTACATCCTGTCGGAGCTCGTGTCCCCAGGACAAAGCGGGCAGTTCTTCTACTTTTCGTACGACCTCCGCTTCATGCTCAAAACCATCACCCGGGGTGAAGCCAAGTTCCTCAAGGCCATCCTCCCCAAGTACTACAACGTACGCCCCCGCCCCTCAGCTCGCCGCCGCCGCCGTCGCCAATCCCCCCCCCCCTCTCCATCAGCTGCCGCATCATTTGGGGGTGCCCGCTCTCGTGCGAAGGGAGAACGGGGAGACGGAGGGGGGGGGGGCTGGCTCACGGCCAACTAACATTACACCACGCCACACTGCCTGGCATTGGCATTGGCATTGGCATGATATGATATGATACGCCGAGCGCAGCACATCATTCAGAACCCCAGCACGCTGATTGCCCGCTTCTTCGGTTTCCATCGCGTGGCACCGCATCGCGACCGCAAGCACTACTTCGTGGTGATGGGCAACATCTTCGCGCAGAACCTCGAGGTACTCCTCATCACAACCGTCACCTTCATCCGCCCGTTCAAGGAGCATCAAGCGCACGCGCACCCCTCACACACACACACACACACACAATATACTGTCATGATCTGACCGCCGCCGCCACCGCCCAATACCTCTTCATTTTCCATATTTGGGGACTGTCGGGCCGCAGCTCCACTACCGGTTCGACCTCAAGGGCTCGACGGTGGGCCGCGTGACGCCTCCGGAAAAGGTGCCCCCCCCCCGAGGGGGATCGGCACTTGCGTGCGAGCGAGGCGCAGAGCTCACCATCGCGTCTCCTCTCCCTCCCCCCCCCCATTCTTCCGCAGATCAAGAACGATCCCAACGTGGTGATGAAGGACCAGGACTTCGACCGGTTGCGCAAGACCATCGCCTTGGGTCCGGAAAAGCGTAAGGTGTTCATCGACCAGGTCGACAAGGACGTCGCCCTGCTCGACCAGCTGGGCATCATGGACTACTCCCTCCTCGTTGGCATACACGACCGTCGTCGCCTGCAAAAGGTGCGCGCATGCACGCACACCACACACACACAATGCCCCCCCCCCTCCCAATAGCAACCGCGCACTTGGGGTGTTTGGCCAGCGCTCACGTGGGCTTCCTCCTCTTTTGTCCTCCTCCTCCTCCTTTCTCCTTTCTCGTGCTCCGTGGTGCCGGCTCGTCAGGGACGCTCGCTGTCGATGGTGTACTTGCCCAAGGCTGTGGACGACGAGCGGCTGGCTACGGCCAAGGGCTTCAACGCCGACACCGACACTGACTCCTCTGACTCGGAGTCGGACGAGGAGAAGCTGGAGCAGTACGTGCCTCGCCCAGCCCCGCCGGGGACTCGCTTATCTCCGATTTCGCCCGGTGGATGGATGGGTGGGTGGGTGGATGGATGGATGATCCTGCTGCAAGCCGCCGCATATGCTGTGTGTCGTGGGCGCTCTCTCTCTCTCTCTCTGACGGACTGGCGGGTGGGCGGGTGGACGCTGCGCAGGCACCACGTCACCGTGTTCACGCAAGACCAGGGCGGCATCCAGTCGACCGACGAGGAGGACCAGGGCACGGACTACATCTACTTCCTGGGCATCATCGACATCCTGCAGCCCTTCAACATGCGCAAACGCGCTGAGCACGGCTTCAAGAGCTTCCGCTTTGACGGGGTACGTCGCCTGTTCCGCCACCGCCACCGCCACCGCGTGCCCCCCCCCCTCCCGCGGCAACCGCCAGGCGCGTCCTCACCGCTGGGATGCGCTGCGCATTGTCATCGTCGCGTCATGCGCAGGACCAAATATCGGCGGTCAACCCGAGGCTCTACGCGCGGCGCTTCAAGGAGTACGTGTTTGCACGCGTCCGGCAGCCCGATACGCCTCAAACGCCGCGCGAGGTGATCGGCCTCCCGCCGAGACTCCCCGAAGGCACCTTACCACCACCACCACCCCCCCCCCATCCATCCATCCATCCATTCCAGATCTTATTCTCGCCGCCGCCGCCGCCGCCATTGCTCTCTTGATTTGGGAGGTCCTCACCCCCCCCCCCAATTTCTCCCTGGACGCACAGGGGGCAGTCATCACGACGACGACGACAGTGACGAGGGAAGCGAGTCGAAGAGAGAGAGGAAACAGGCGCAGCTCACGGATCCGCGTGGCGAATCTGATGGCGGCGGAAAAGTAACGGCGGCAGCGGACAAGCAACCCCGGGAGCGAGGAGCGGGGGGCGAGGGTGACAAGGTCAAGGAAAGGAAGAAGCGCACGGAGCAGGGGCAGGGACAGGCAGAGGGGCCTCCTCCCCAAACGAAAAAGGGCGCGACGATGACGACGAAGCCCGCGGCCAAGAAGACGAAGAAGAACAACAGCAAGAAGAAGAAGAGCGAGGGCCAGGCTGCGACAAAGACGGCGGACAGCAGTAGGAGCTACGATTACGAAGCGGGCTCTAGCGCCGGAAGTGAGGCCAGCAGCGGTGGCCTGCGAGAAAACCACGAAGCCGCAGCAGGAGCAGCCTCTGGGGACGGTAAGTACGAACCTCTCCCGCACCACCGCCCCACACTCACACTCACACTCCCTTTCACTGGCCCGTACGACGACGTGGCCACCCACGGGTAGGTAACTCGCCGCGAGTGGGCAACGCGGGCCTGGTACCCAAACAACTCAAGGTCGAAAAGAAGAAGAACAACAACAACAAGCAGAAAGCCCCCCGAACCTGAAGAGTTCAAATAAATAAAAATAAACACGATTTCCGCGGAACGACTACCCAGAAATATCTCAGAGGCAGGAAATTGCCCAGAACGTTGTCCATGTCTAGGCTTTCTTTTTGCTGGGTCTCTTTCTATCACCATCCTTTGCCCCTGTACGCACCCCCCCCCCCCAAAATTCCGCCCGCTCCAAACCGACGTCTCACATGCAATGATCAATCATGGTCCAGTACCGATCCTTAAATCCAGAGGAACCTTTGCACGTACAACATGTCCAAGGGCGGCGGTAAGTTTCAGAGGAAGAAGGAGTACTTCACCAAGCTCTCCAACCTCCTGGTCGATTACAAGAAGGTGCTCATCGTCGCGGCCAACAATGTCGGCTCCAACCAGCTTCAGAGGGTGAGGCAGGAGCTCCGCGGCAAGGCCGTCCTCCTCATGGGCAAGAACGTACGTTGTGTTGCGCTGAGAGCCCTCCACCTATTTTTCCGCATTCAACAGACTAGTCATGAATGTAGTTGGCGAGCTTCTTCTCACCACTGGTGCGAACACCGACCAACAAACAGACCATGATCAGGAAGTGCATCAGGGAGAACCTGACCAAGAACCCCGACCTCGAGGCCCTGCTTCCCTACGTTAAGGGCAACGTCGGTTTCGTCTTCACCAACGGCGATCTGTCGGACATGAGGACCAGGATCGGTGCCGTCAAGGTCAAGGCTGCCGCCAAGTCTGGTGCCATCTCTCCGTGCGACGTCATCGTGCCTGCCGGCCCCACCGGCCAGGATCCTGCCAAGACCTCGTTCTTCCAGGCGCTCACCATCTCCACCCGTATCTCCAAGGGTGTGATTGAGATCGTCAACGACGTGCACCTCGTGAAGGAGGGCGCCAAGGTGACTGCCTCGCAGGCTGCTCTGCTGCAGATGTTGAACATCCAGCCCTTCGAGTATGCCCTGGCCGTCAAGACTGTCTACGATGATGGTTCCGTCTACCCCGTGTCTCTCCTCGACATTACCGACGACGACATCATCAACAGGTTCCGCAAGGGTGTCGCCAACGTGGCCGCTATCTCGCTCCGCATCGGCTACCCCACCGTGGCTTCCGTCCCCTACGCCCTCACCAGCAGCTTCCGCAACCTGCTCTCCGTGTCGCTCGCCACCAGCTACACTTTCCCCCAGGCCGAGAAGCTCAAGGACCTCCTCGCCAACCCCGAGGCCTTTGCCGCTGCCCTCGCCGCCGCTGCTCCCGCCGGCGGTGCTGCCCCCGCCACTGCGACTTCGGCTGCTGCGCCTGCCGCCGCCGCCGCCAAGGTCGAGGAGGAGGAGGAAGCCGAGGACATGGACGCTGGTGGCCTCTTCGGTGGCGGTGACGATGACTACTAGACGCCCTCCCTCTTTGCAGGCTGTCGTTACGCACCTCTTGTTTCTTTGACTTAGAGAAATGAAGAGCTACAGTTCCCTTCGAACACTTGGACTCGCCCCAACAGACAGACCAGCAGTCGTTCACGTGGGGCGTCACGGGAGAGCGTGTTTGTATATTTGGGTGGCCACGTCAGTAGGTGAACGTGGTGTGGCGGTTCTGCACCACGGCATACTTCTTCCGGATGAGCGGCCGCACATCATCAGCCCGAGCAAGCTCACGCAAGAAAGGCATGAGCGCCAAGAGATGGTTGTCGGACCGTTCGCCGAACCAAGACTCGATGGGGATGCCGTTGTCGAGGTGGTACGCGAACGCAAGTGGAGAGTTGTCCACGATAGTCGTCTGAGGAGCGCATAAGAAGGGCGTTAGGAAAAATAACATATGTGTGCGTGTGTGTGTGGGTTTGGTGTCTTGTGTCTTGTGAAGGCTGACCGGGCTGTGGTGTGTCGTGTCGTGTCGTGAGACTGAATGCTTGTGGTGTGGTGTGTGGTGCACTGGGAGAGAGGGTGCGCACATGCTGCAGGTCGCGGCCCAGCATGTCCAGGTCCTTTACAAAATTGCCCTCCACGAGCACGCACGCATCGCGGTAGAGGCGGTGGCCTATGTGGCGTTCTGTGTCGAGCATGTCAAGCAGCCTGCCGGCGTAGGCTTCCTGGGAGGCCGTGAAAACGACGAGCTTTGCGCCACCGCAAAGGCCAGTTCAGCTATGGGCAAGGGACATGTCCCGAAGATGTCACGTGACAAGTACCTCAAAGAGTTTGGCCACCTCCGCCAAGAAGCGGTGCATATTGGGTCGCACACGCACAAACACGTTGTAGGTGGTGTTTTCCAGCGTCACCGAGAAGACGTGGTCTTGGAGAAGAGGAATGCAGTGAGGCAGGTCCGTCCAAGTGCAAAAGCGCGCCAGGCAGCAGCCATTACCTGGCGGAGGGGAGCCTGGAGGCGGCGGTTCGATCGTGGAATGCACCAGCGTTTCATCCAGATCCAGCACCAGCGTTGGTTTCTGTGGTGCACATTGGGCAGATGACGAGGTTGGTTGGTCAAGCAAGCAGGCAGGCAGGCAGGCAGGCAAGCGGACAAACAAAAGCCGCGTGTACGTCATCAGGGGCGGTGGGGTGGGGTGGCAGGTGTGTGTGTGTGTGTGTGTGTCGTACCTGTGTCTTCG